ATCTGTCTGCTGATAGCATAAAAACTGAGATTTAAGGACTGGAAATGCAACTATTGCTCCATTATATTCATGGAACATTTTCAAAGTTTGTGCGATTTAAAATAGTTACAGCCTAAACTATTGACTAAGTTCCGAATCTAATGGAAAATACACAGGACACCTAATACGATAGAGGATATTTCACTCACCATGGCAACCCTTAGTTGATGTATTTAAGTCCTAGAAATTAAACTTAGCTGTAGCAACCTCTTTGTTTGTTATTGCTTTGAATGGTGAAGTCATTCGCAATCACGATATTTCCCTCTATGTAGCTCGGCCATCTTTTGTAACAGCAACTGATTTTTATTTAATTTTCACAATGTTTAGAGTTTTACAGCCCTGAAGAACATGAAAATATGTTCAGTTCATGCAAACTTGGAAACAACCAATCAAACTAGTGTTGTATAAGCCAAACAGCTGTTGACCTTAGTCTAATTGTCAATATATGAACAGATCAATAATAGGCAAATGAAATACTAAACATATGAAATGAGTCATATAATAACAGATGAATCATCGAAACAGAAATTATTAACAATGTTGAAATGTTACTATTCACTGATATACTTGTAAGTCTCCGTTGTTTTTATTGGATCAAATTGTCTGACCTCTATTGGTATATGGGCTCCTAAGAGGATGCCTCGATATTGCCTGAGTGTTAACTATGGTAATTTGTTTGGTTGTGGCTAGTAAAGGAATCCAGGACTCCCGTTTTGTCCTATTTGGGACTCGTCAGCTGGATGTACCTGCACCCCAAATATTTCTGTATGTCGAGGTAATACACAGCTGGAAAAACTTCGATGTATATATACATATATATTCACTTAACGAGAAGCTAGAAAAATCATGACGATGAAAACTTCTTTGAAAATAAAGAGCATAAAAATCAATTCGGATTTCGATGAATACTGATTCCAGTGTATAAACGATGCATTTATTAACTCATCCCCTATGAATGAATGGTGGCCCTGATTAAATTATACTTAGATTGAAGGGAAGAAATGTAACCGATATATTAGTGGTATTTGTTGACTCAAAAAACTTTATTTATTATTATTGCGTTTCCTCTCAGACTCTTTTTATTAAATTATAGAAGTATAACGTCAAAATTGAGCGCAAAGAAACAAAACTACTTCAACATAAGTTTTGTTTTGTCGTTAAATGTATGAGTTATTGAATTCAGTACAGCTTTAATTGAATTATAACAAGCCCAGGATGAATGCATCTTTTTATCAAGTCTCTGCCCTTTAACAGTATTCTATAGTATCCCGAATATTGGCCACCAAGTTAAAGGTTGATATTAGATATGGCTTATAAGTGTGTAAGTCACAGTGTTTGAAACAAGTAATTTCAACTTTTCGCACAAAATTATGGTTCGGATTACTTCATGAAAACAATCAAATATATGTTTTTTCGGTAGGATTCATCACAGACTGATGTCATCTGGAGAACCACTGAAAAACCTGGGAGTAGTAGATAGCTGTTTTGTCCTAGTATTGGACTCCTCAGCAGTACGCAGCAGTCAGTCTGTGATGAATACTACCTTATAAATAAAAATCACTCATCTGAAAATACATTACTGAATATATGTATATATACGACTATTTTTCTGAATGAGCTCGAACCAGACTTCAATAGGAAACGGTGAAATTCTTCAGTAATTTCTAAACCCTAATTAAAACATTAGGTCTTTGAATCACTCAGACCAATATGGACATTTATCTATAAAGTTCAGGTTTATTAGTGATCAACTTGAGGAGATCGGAATAGCACTTCAATGGAGATATCTCGACATTCACATTACGTTTTAGAAGTTATGACTAGAAGATTTAGAAACTGTTGTTTGTGTATCAAGGAGAATTTTACAAACTAATGCCTCTTGATAAGCAAAGTAGTTACCTAATTTATACGAGTCTTTGCTTTTGTGGGATTGAAAAAATGTATTGTTGCCCTTTACTGTAACTGATATTTATGGATTAGGAATTCTTCAAAATCGTATCAAACACTGATATACTTAGTTACACATCATACGGTCCACTTATCTCAATATGCCTAGGTTTATTTTCCTGAAAGTGAACTTGAAGCATCAGTAAACAAGGCTGAAATACTTAGCTCGTCTCATCTGTAATATTAGATTTGTTGATAATAAAGTCATTGTTATAATTTTTATATCTTTCACATCACAAGAAATATGCATATGAAAGCTATCAATAGAGAAATATGCACATACGAAGGGCTATGAATATTATTTACTTCCAGTCTTCAATGAGAAATATCCTTATTTCACGAATAGTAATTTACTATTCAGTCCCTGAGTTTTAAACTAACGCTGAACTATTTTTAAATTGTTATTAATCTTCTAAACTTGTCAGAATGCTACAGTGAGCAATTAGGGCAAAAGATGGGGAGCTGAGGAAGTGTGTAAAAGATCACTAGCTGGCAGGTATTTAACGAGATGTTATTCACCTTCATATACGAGAACTTTAACGGCTATGTTCTAATCTATTAGGTTGCTTTGGAACTACTAAAATGTGTGAATTAACCTTCTAGGTAGTGCGTCTGATTATCAATACTACCCCATCTACTCATGTTCTATACTTTCCAGGACTTATCTCTAAAACTTGTTCATCACTTTACGAGATATTTCTGTTTCCAATAGACTGTAATAAGTGCCTTTTTCCTACATACTTCCACAAATGATGTGAGTAAATAGTTTTATAATACTGGCAAATTCTACTACAACTTTAAAGAATGGGTTTTAAAAACTTAGAAATTGCGTTTTATATTCTGAAGAGGGCAGGCTTTTTTGACTTATATAGGTAGACAGCTTTTATTCCAAATATTTTTGGCCTTCGGCAGCAAAAAACAATGAGAAAACACATAAAACACCGGTGTAAGTAAGGATAATAGTCAGTCTAAGTAGATCATTTTACTGATAAATAAAATTAAATATTGTGTTTAAACTCGCCTATTAATTGCATTATTTCGATGATCATGCTTTCAGCACGCATGCATATATATATATATATATATATATATATATATATATATTTCATCAATGTACATGTCTGCATATATTCATTGGAATAGAAATCATTTGCAATGCAAATCAAATAATGTGTAGGCTGTTATAATTATCACAAATAAATTTGTTTGTCCATATCTGTGTACCACAGTTTTCTACTATAAGTAGAATAACATATGGAGAATTTTCCACAATCTTCGACACCATATAAAGTTGATGAAATTGATATTGATCAGTATAAAATACCTTGACCTAACTGAATTTGACTAACCTACCGTGATAAATATCAGTATCTAGAGTCTGTTGTCCATATTATACAAAAGAAGTAGTTTAGAAAGTGACAACTTTCATAAAAATGGTACAAATGGCTTAGAATTTCCAGATAGTCTGATAGCGCGTTAATCTTGGATAATTCATTGGTGTATTACCGCTTTATCGCTAATATAAAGTCTTGTCAGTGGGATTTGTCCGGCGTAAGCAATGTTTACGTAACCACTTTCAGCTGATATTTCTATGCAAAGTCTTCTGCTACAAGTTCTATCAGCAAATAAGTGACTATTGGTGTATTATTTCATCTCGTTGTTTGAAAAAATCAGTTGCTTTAACAGTCAGCTTATCCTTTTACAACTTGTAGTTTTTACTTTGGAGATTTTTGTAGGAAACACTGTTTTCGAAAAGGTGTGAGACTCCTCAGTGGTGTGCAATCATTATACGGAGATAAATCGACCCTACACATTTAGGTCTTAAGGTGAGTGCATTACCACCTAGTCACTCTGTCGACCTTTCTGAACTTCTTTCAATTCACTTGCCTAACGACTAGCTTATACTGTTGTTTTACTGAATGAAAGTGGTCAGTTTATGAGGAATATTACTTTGAAGTAATAGAAATTGCTTTGTCATCTTCAGATACTATATTCTATACCCGTCTATTGATCGAATCGGCTACTCATAGAACAATTTTAGGTTTAAAGTTAGCGTAATGCATTAATCAGTAGAAAAAATAGATGATAGCTTTTCTGTATGAACGGTTTGATATTTCAAAAAAACACCCAAAGCGAAAAATTTTTCTGTCTATTTTGCTAAAATCAGCTGAGTATACAACGTATGAGGTGATAAAGCTATCTTGCCTCAAGATGAAACATCAAAGAATAAGCCCTAGAACATGCAGAACATCAGAAAGTTATCATTCTTATCCACAGCTATAAATATTCACTACTGTCCGATATCCACTTTTGTATAGATTTAAATTCAGAAAACCGCTAATTGAACACCTCATTACGGTGTCCATTTCATCGATGCTTTCAGTTTGCTGCTTGAGTCATCATTACCTTTGACCACATAGATGGATGGGAAATGTAGACTCCTTTCCACATTACTAAAATCAGAATATTTCTTACATCATAACAAAGATAAAACTTCTTACATAAATAAGCATATACACTTGATTTAATGTTATTTAGTAGAACAGCTTATTGGCTCTGTAGTGTTTAGATCATCTGTTATGTTTTACCTATATTTATACCACCAGAATAAATCACATCAAAAATTCACATGAATTTGTCTGAGAAGAAGAATCACAGCCTCTTGTTTTTTCAGATCATAGTGATAAAATATTTTTTAGCTTTATAACTCAGATATAGATGTACATCCAACCTATGAGGCCAATCCTGGTTTTTGATAAAAGATATCAGCGAAAAAGATAGGCTATTGTCAGACCGTTATCGCATATTCGTGGTACTGTAGTCATTCACATCGTTTTACCTGGGAGTTCTTTTTCTCATAGTTTGTACAGCATCGATAAATTTTAGACATGTTTTTGTGATTCAAGGAAGTAAAAGTTGGAAAAAGTTAAAAGCATTATGAGAGTATTCACACTTAGTATTTATTGATGCCGCATAGATAGATTTGTTAGTATTTAGACAAAGCCATCTCAAAACTAAACACTTAATGAATTTTTCTGAGTATATGATTTTAAACCAGTATTATACCACAAACTGACGAAATGACTAGGCTCATACTTACCTTTTTCATCTACCGGGCTATTTATACCCCAGTGCAATAAAGAATTATATGAAGCTCTAGGACTTGCTGAATTAGGTATAGACTCCATACTCGAGACACTATCCTGTTCACATGGTTTCCACTCAGAGTCGTCAGATGTAAGTATAATGGACGGAGTAAGATTGTCATTTTCCATTCTAACATTATTGAATCTGCCTCATTCGATTCAATCATTTCTGTATCACGATTATCATGACTACAGTTTTCCTCATCATGTCTGCATTTACTATTCTGTCTGTGTAGATTTTGACATGTTTCATTAAAAAAGTAAGATGTTGGTGGCATCTTGGTTTGTTCAGGTGTTAAATTCACATTACATAGGTTTGGATCGCTTGACATGTTCCAATATCCTCATCATGTCATATTGTTAATGATCAGTATGTAGTGAATGCCAATTAGGCTGAACCGAATTATTAATAACCCTCAGTAATATGTAAATCAAACTGATCGCAGTTATTCAGCATCGTTTAATGTTCAATAACATTTCTTTTTGATAAATTGTTGTTGATATTGAAGCACATGTATGTTATCGTTTTGAAGTAAAACAACACTATTCGTGGGTGAAGTAAACACTATACGTATTTTGTTGGCTCCATTAATGCATCGTTTCAAGTTTATGAGCAGTTGTGAAATGGGCGGTCAAACCATTTATATAAAGTAAAACAACAAATGAATGCAGCCACTTTAACACCCCCTGTAAACTTTTATACACACTGTACCTAAAATCTGATTTGATCTGATACAATTAACCAATCAGCAAACAGACAGTTGTGTACATATTTACTTATTACAGTTTGGCCATTCACTACGTGAAAAAGTATTAACCACATGATTTACTTAATTCTGATTTGATCAACGATAAGATTTTTTAAAAAAATAATGGCATACCTGTGTTTAAATCCTTCCAATTTTTCGTGTACATGTGTATGTGTCTGTGTCAATTATAACTAGTGGCATTGTGAAAACACAACATCCAGTTGATCCAACTGTTCAACTAAATTACTGTGTAACAATGAGTGTTACAGATATCTTAAAAATACCCTATGAAGATGATAATCATTATCTAGTCTGATCGCAGATAATTATTGTGCAAAGTAACGATAGGGTAATGAATTATTATTTCAATGTACTTTGAATAACTGCCCTTAATAACAAATTTCAACTAGTGCGAACAAACATAATACTTGAGGGAGTAGTATCGATGATAAGCCAAAGTCATCATGAAAATCCTTCATCTCTTGAAACTTCACTGAAAATGGTTCAGGTATTCATACTTAGCAATGTTCCGTCAACAATAAGCTCCAATCACCATGAATGAGAGAAACTTAAAGGAAGTAACCTCCTTCCCCTATCTAGGAAGCACTGTTTCAACTACAGGTGGCGGGACAGACGAGGATGTCGAAGCCAGTCAGAATCGGAAAAGCAAGACAGGCGTTCATTAGCCTGAAACCAGTGTGGAGATCTTCTGCACTGCACTCAACATGTGGAACAAGATCCGGATTTTCAACACCAACGTCAAGTCAGTGCTTCTTTGTGATGGTTCACAGACTTGGCGCGTTAAGAAAGGAATTTCCAGTAAACTACAGACATTCATCAACAACTGCCTCCGCTGACTCATTACTGAAGATCAGATGGCCAGAAAGAATAAGCAACAAGGAACTCTGGTCTGGCAACTAACCAACCAAGAACCTATCACCCAACAAATATGCAGAAGGAAATGGAGATGGATTGGGCATACACTGAGAAGGCCGACTGAGGACATCACGCGTCAGGCCAGTCACTCGAGGGGAACCCCCATGGGAAGCGACGAGTTGGACGTCCGAGGGTGACATAGACGGGATCGTGCGAGGAGGAAATGAAACCTTCTGGGCTGTCGTGGGGCCAGGTTCAAAAGACTTCAGAGAAGAGAGTGGGATGGAGACGTGCTACTGAAGCCCTTTGTTCCATTAGGAACCCAAGGAACTAATAATAATAATAATAAATAATGTCCTGTCAGTGAGCAACTTATTTACAACGTGAAGTTATTGTAATTAGCCAGCACTTGAAGAACAACAAGCTTTGAGACAGCTGAAATAAATGCATTGTTCATAAAAAGAAAACTCTCTGCATCACTTTCTGTCTTATGGAAGTATTTAAGTGTTGAAAACTGGCGAATAGCATAATTTAAAAAAGATAAGGTGTTAGCTGTAAATAATGGCATATTTCGATGCATTCCATTTGCTTGTTATGAACGATGAGGAATCTCATCACAAAATAAAAAGTCTTTAAGGCAATTTCTCTGATCACGTCTGTTGCTGAATAACTTTTTACGTAAAGAGATATCTATAACTAATAAAACTGAAATTTATAATACATTTATGAATTTGATTCGTCCCAAATTGTTAAAAAAATTGTTTGTTGTATAAATGTTTCAGTACACGCTATTGTTCATAATCATATGAAAATAATAGCATAACTTCCATCATTTGGTTTCTATAGTTTTCTCATCTCAGTTCCCGTGTAGTACGATCACTGGTAGTAGAGTCTCCCAGATCCCACTAATAGGGATGCGTCATTTCTATTGGTTTTATTGATATTGATATAATTACTAATTATGGACAGGCTTGTAATTATCCGTTGTTTTACTGGATTGATTTGTTCGACCTCTCTTACTATATGGGCTCCTAATTGGATGTCTCAGTATTGCCTGAATGTTAATTGTGGTAATTCACTTGGTTGTGGCTAGCAGAAAACTCCAGAATGAGTCCCGAATAGGATGAAACGTGCATCCTAGATTCTTCTGCTAGCCACGACTAAGTAAATTACGAAAATGATATTAGTTTTAAATACGGATTACGATTCTTCGAGTTATTTGTGAGCTTCCTAACTCCAAAACCTAAGCACGCTACTATACATGTTTTAACTGATATTTAAATGACATAAATGGATTGCATTCCATTTACTTCTGAGTTTAAATGCATGAAAAAACTGAAGATATGCTTTGACTTTAATACAGTGAATATGTCATTCAAATACCTTAGTATCTTAGCAGTAGCACTAAGCGCGTTAGAGACGATTTACTGTAAATATGTCTCCTACCATAATAATGTATCACAATGTGTTATATCAATTAAAAAAATCTTACATGAAATTCAGTTTCACTATTTATATTTTAAAAACTGAATGATTTTATTCCTTCACTTTATGTAAAAGTTGTTCAGCAACAGAGCTTAACGTATTCAAAGAAAATGACTCAAAGACTCTTTTATTTCCTGGTAGATTTCTTCATTGTCCGCAACAAACAAAGTGCACGCATCGAAATATGTCAGGCAGTACAGTTACCACAACTCATAAGTTTCAATAGCACAATAATTGACAAAACTGGATTATTATTGACAAACTTATAGAAACATAAGCAGGGGAGAATATTTTTGGTATTTTGTCATAGAGTGACTTTAAGGCTCTTATGTAAACGATTCCAAATGGTTCCTGTTATAGCAGTTACCCTGAACTAAGAATGATTATTAGTTTCATCTAATTGAGAATGTCAGAAGTAAAGTTTAGAAATTTGATATGCAAAAACACCAAGATTTTGACCTGGGAAACACTGGGTAGACTTTTCCCTATAACTCTGGTATCCAATTCAGCTCCAGTCATTATTCCAACACTATTGGTACCTTTATTCTAAAAATAAGCAAAATATCATAGGTCTTGTGACCAAAGTAGTGAAGCCAATACTTGATCTAGATGCCTTGTACTGAAATTTCTTCTGTTATCGTTTAACGACAACATGATGCAGCTTGCGTATAATTACGTCCTTAAATAAATATAAATCATAAACTAAGAATTTCAGCTGATGGATCATCAAATTTTTTCAAACATTCCAATTCAGTGAAGATAGCCTTTGGTAATTACTAATGTATGTGAGGCTAGTAATTACACTCGAGAAAAGCCTGAGTCTGTATGTAACTGGTGTCAGCAACGTTTTGTATTGCTCATGTATAAAAGTATAATTATGCAAAAAAAGGTAGAAACAAATAATCTAGTGGAATTCAGCCAACTATTCTCCATCCCTAATTCAGAGTTTGGTGACTATGAGAAGGAGAGCTGGCCATGAATGCATAAGGACAGAAAATAGATCTCTCATTCTCACAGCACCTGTATGTAATGTCTCTTGATTGAAGTGAAATGGTGATTTAATTTGGATTCTGGTCGCATGAAATAACATAGATTCGAAGCAGAAAAGCAACGACTGCTATTTAGAATTCCTCTGCTTATGTATTTATCAACATAAATTTACATAGTAAAGCTGCTACTTCAAGTAATCCAACTACCAACTTACTAACTTTATGAGAATCACAACAAAAAGATGCTGTGCGTTGGGTTTGCTGTTGGTTCCAATGGATTTACAACTAATCGCTTAAAAATAGTTTAACATATTTTATTATCAGTCAGTTGCTTAATTTACACGTAGGCTTTCATATGTTTATCTAAAATCTAATGATAACCATATTAAAACCGTAAAATTTTTATGAACTAGGGTTTGTATTGTACAGAGAGTATCCAGTAAATTTTCAGTTTTAACTTTTTCCCGTAAAAAACCATGTTTCATTAGGATGTTCATGATAAAATGTTACTAACAAAAGTAACAGAACAGAAGTGTATCAAATGATAAAGTAATATATGAAAAGTTGGATAAATTTAACTTTACGAAGTGTCTGAGAAATGTGTAGTTCAAATTATGCCTCCAACCAACTAACATTTACTAATGTGCACTGCAATGCTGAGTTTCCTAGCTTGGGGGCCACATTGAAAATATGATAGTTAGGATTCGGTCTGCACTCAGGACCAGACAACATTAAATTGGTTGCACTCCCGTGACCAATCAATACATAGAGAGTATTCTTTGTTTGAAGTGAAGACAATCCATTGGGTGGTCGTGTTGCAAGCTGATACTTAGTTGACAGTTTTCTAACAACGAACTAGACGATTTCATAACTGTTACATTTTTATTACTTGTGCAGACTACTAAATTTTCCCCAAAATACTTAAAGAGCTTTTAGATTATGAACTTTAAACATGGACTATTATGTAACGTCTATCCTATTCAGTGTCACCAAGAAATATCTTCATGGTATTCTGATATTATATCCTAGT